ATGCTGCTTTCTGGGCCTTAGATTCCCTGTCAGTTACAGGAGTCACTGCCAAGAAAATGGGGTAAAATGCTGAAAAGTATCAAGAGTAATGGGCTGCAGGTATTTTCGCCCCTAGTCTATCATGGCTCCTTTTGACTATTGCATGGCAGGCCCCTGTTCACATTATTCCACCTATAATTCCCTAGAGCCCCAGGAGGTTGTTCCTATTATACAGAGGAGGAAACTGAGGTTTGGGTCAGCCTTGTAGACACGAAACTTCAGGTATGTCTCCTGCCCTCAGCTCTCCCTGCACACCTCAGGCCTGGGAGCTTTGCTTTGGAAGTCAGGACCCCACTGGCTGACATTTCATTCAAAGCTTTCATCAGATCTTCCAATGGGCCAGTGTTCACCCAGAGCAGAAGAGACTTTTATTCTCTTCATATGTGGGGGCACCTGTGCCACAGTGTGCATGTTGAGGTCAGAACCATGTGCAAGAATTAGTTCTCTCCTTTTATCGTGTGGGTCCCAGGAATCGAACTCGATCCTCAGACTTGGTAGCAAGCACTTTTATCCTGTGGCCCACCTTTAGCTTTTTTTTGTTGTTGTTATTGCTTGTTCCAAGAAGACTACTACATCTACTTTCTAATTCTTATTATATTCTTATTGTATCAATTCAATAGTATTGATTTAGGTACTACTAAGGGTTGAACCTAAATTATCATGCAGGTAGGCAGGCAGTTTCCACTAAAATATATCCCCTGCAGAGTGCAGAGTGCAGTGTGTGTGTGTGTGTGTGTGTGTGTGTTGTGTGTGTGTTTGGGTGTGTGTGGTGTGTGTGTGTGTGTGTGTGTGGGGTGTGTGTGTGTGTGTGTGTGTGTCTCTGCTTTGAGGGATCAGTGTCTCCCTCTAGTCCAGGCTGACCTGGAATTCAAGATCCCCCTGCTTTGGCCTCCAGAATGTAGAAATCACAGGCATTTGCCACCATGTATTTTAATTGTATGAGAGAGAAACGTGGCAGGGTGGCAGAGACCCACTGGTCATTGCGAAAAGGCTGACAACTTCCTCTAGAAATCAGCTGACATGATCTGCCTCCACAATGTACTGGCTGTATGACCTCAGGCAGGTCACATGCTGTCTCTGAGCCTCATAAAGCATTTTTTTAAAAAACAGAAATAATACAAGGCTGGAGAGATGACTCAGTTGTTGGGAGCACTGACTGCTCTTCCAGAGGACCCATGTTGAGTTCTCAGCACCCACACAGCAGTTAACAAATGTCTGTAACTCCAAGAACTGACATTCTCACACAGACATGAAATCAGGCAGAACACCAATGCACATAAAATAAAAATAAATAAATTATAAAATAGAAATAATAGGAACCTCTGCAAACTCACCTCCACCAACTTGTCACCCACAATCTCACAGGTCTGGTGATAGTTGGGGAAGTTTGCCACCACCTTCCCATCCTCCATCTTCACAGTAGCCTAGGAGAAAGACAGAGCATTGAGCACAAAACCTCTAACCACAGCCTAACAAGTCATTAAGCATCACTTAGGTTATCTTAAAAAAAAAAATGTAGGCTGGGTAGTGGTGGCCCACATCTTTAATCCCAGCACTTGGGTGTCAGAGGCAGCCAGATTTCTGTGAGTCCAAGGCTAGCCTGGTCTACAGAATGAGTTCCAGGACAGCTAGGACTGTTACACAGAGAAACCCTGTCTCAAAAAATAAGAAATAGAAAATAAATAATATATGTAGGGCTGGCTCAGTTGACAGAGTGCTTGCTTACCACACACAAGGGTCTCAAAAGCAAAGGGAAGGGAGGAGATGGCAGGGGCAATGACTCAGTGGAGAAAGTGACTAGAATTTGGATCCCCAGCACTCACATTTAGAAGAAAAAAAGTCTCATCATAGCAGTGGAAGTACCCCCATACCACATCACCCTTCCTGCGGGACAGAGACAGATAGATCCCAATGGCCCACTGGCCAGCCAGTCTAGCAGAAACTAAAAGGATCTCAAAGAGAGATCCTGACTCAAAAAGTAAGGTGGAGAGTGTTAAAGGGCATACAACCCTGATACCAACCTCTGGTTTCCACATACACGTGCACAGGTGAGTATACATACATATGTGCATACACAATAGATGATAGATAGATAGATATTATAGAGATGATAGATAGATAGATAGATAGATGATAGAGATTATTGAAAGATTAATAGATTGATTAATAGATCAGTATATAGATTAATAGATGATAGATTAATAGTAGATAGATAGATAGATAGATAGATAGATAGATAGATGATAGATAGACCAACTATTCAGTAAGTGTCTGAAGTGAGTTATATTAAATACTCAGCAAATATAAGCTTTTTTTTCCTTTCTTTTTTTGGGGGGCGGGGGATTTCTCTGTGTAACAGCTCTGGCTGTCCTAGAACTTGCTTTGTAGCCCTGGTTGGCCTCCAACTCCCAGAGATCCACCTGCCTCTGCCTCCCATGCACCACTGCAGTCCAGCCAGGACGTTTTTTTTCCTTTTTGAGAAGAAGTCTCATGTAGCTTTGGCTGGCTCAGAACTCACAGAAATAGCCTGTTTCTGCCTCCTAAGTGCTGTAACTAGCTTGCACTATGCTTGGAAAATTAGACTATTTTTGTTTCTTTGTTCTCTTGCTTGCTTGAGACATTATTTCTCTATGCAGCCCTCACTTTTCTGGAACTCACTATGTAGACCAGGTTGGCCTAGAACTCACAGAGAACCTCCTTGCTCTGTTTCCCAAGTGGCTGGGATTAATGGTGTGCACCACCACACCCAGTACATCAGCTGTTTGTATCTCAGTATTGTATTCTTTGCTAATGGCAGCCATTACCCAGCCTTAAAAACAACAAGAAAGAAAGCTTTTCATACTGAAGGCTAAACTATAGACAGAAGCCTCAGTCTGGGGAGCAGAGGGGCCGTATCTGAAACAGAAAAGCTGGCCTTTGGCCTGGGGAGACAGGAAAGGGCAGTCAGGGTCCTCTCACCTTGAACTTCTTGCCCGCCATGGTATGAATTTCAGATTCTTTGCCAATGGTGAACTTGTTGGTCATAATGTTGCCTCCAGAGTAAGACTGGGACCAGGTGAAGTCCTGTCCATCCTGCTGGATCTCTGTGATGATCTTGAAGTTGCGTCCTTTTTCAATCACGTCTGCTGGAAGACCTGGGCCCAGTGACAAGCAGAGAGTCCACATAGGATCTACTTATAACCTTGTGATTTGGGGAGAGAGATTTCCTCCCCAGAGGCAGGCAAGCCTGCAGGTCTAATATAGTGTCTGAGATATAGATAGCACATGGTTCAAATCCCAGCTCTGCCATTAGACCTGTGGCTTGAGCAGAATACTGCCCTACTGATTTCATTTACAAAATGATGACAGTAAGGTCTGACTCTTAGAGCTGTTGTGAGAATTAAATTCAATGTGGTCCTGTCTCTCACAGTTCCTCACAACTACTTGGTGTGGGGCTTAGCAGTTAAGAGCACTTGTTCTTGCAGAGAACCCAGGTTCAATTCTCAGCACCCACATGGATGCTCACACCATCTGTAGCACTGTGGTACACAGACATACATAGGAGCAAAACACTAATATACACAAAACAAACCTAGTTGTTGTTGTTTTTAAATCGTAATAATAGCAAATCTTTCTATAGTAATATACCAATATAGCAGAAACTTGCAAAACCCAGAAAGCTCTGGAATGGATGCAACCTTCATGATTCAGCCTTCTAATACTTCTATTCTACAGATGAGAAAATAGAGACCTGGAGCTGGAGAGATAACACAGTTCTTGCAGGGGACCAGGGTTCAGTTCCCAGCACCCATGTGGCAATTTACAAACATCTGTAAAA